GCACCTGGGAGCTCTCTCTTCCCAGTTTGGTGCCTGTGCTCCAGGGAAACCTGTTGCATTAAATGATCAGTCTCAAGAAGAATCAACATCTGGGATCAGCTCGGCTATCAGCAGCCCGCGAGACTATTTTATGAAAAAACCACCAAAACACCAACCTGAGCAAGAAGTCAACTGAGAGTGTGGGGAAAGCAGAGGAAGTGGCCTCTGTCAATGTTCGGCATACAAAAGGTTGAGAGCTTCAAAAAATCGCTGGAGAAAAAGGTGATACAGAAAAAGGCACCTGCCTGGGGGGGGTCCTTTCCCGGAGCAGCCTGAGCTGTGCTCTGTGAGGCGCCAGGGCAGGCTCCACCCCAGAGATAACACCACGGCGCTTTGACTCTCAAGGCTTAGTCTCTGTACAAAGGTGTCTCAGCCAGCACACAGAGCAGCGAGCCCACAGGCAGCTCGGCGGCAGATTCATACGTTCATATGCAGAGACTTCCTTCCAAGCTAAGCTGTGCCTTCACAAGGATCTTTACAGCCCTGGTGCAACACTCACAGTAAAAAATCACCAGCTTCCCAGGGACTCAACTGTCCCAGCAGAGACGCAGGTGCAAACCAGACCCCCCAACCCACACCCAAGGCCAGGACACCCACCAGGCTGGCACCAGGGGCCGTGGCTGACCCGGGGGCCTGCATCCCTCCTCCTCGAAAAAGCAAAGAGGGAGAAAGCTGGAATGTGCTCCCCACCCCCAAGGTGAAAGGCCGAGGCCGCGACTCGGCACCACAGGCTTCCTGTTCCTCGGCTCCCCCCACACATTCGGTACCAGCGCTGGCATCACGCCGATGAAGTCTGCACTACCCAAAGCAAACACCCCTGCAAACCCACCTTCCTCCCTTCCCAACTTCCTCCTTGTTCAGGCCCTGTCCTCCAGCTCTGCCTCCTCAGCTCATCTCAACACTGCGATGTCAAACACCCTTCCCAGATCGCTCCTGCTCCTCCGGAGCTCCCTACTGCCCCATCAACCACCCCACCCAGCCCCACTCTCCCCTCTCCACTGTCTGTCCGGCTCTGCTTCTTCATTCCTCAGGCCTTCCCTCTGCCCATCCCGCCGCCCCCAGCTCAGCTTCCCCACCCCGACCACCCTCCTCCCAGCCCCCGCACCCTGCAGGCCCCCACCCCGTGGCCCGCTCTGCCCTCCCCGCTTCCCGGTAGCTCAGTGCCCGCCGGCCCGGTGCCACCCCCCGGCACGCTCTAGCCCCCCATCCTGCCTTGTCACCATCCCCGCCCTCCCCGGCACGCCCCGCCGGCCTCTGCCCCGTGCCCGGGCGGCGGGCACAGCTCCAGCCCCCGCTCAGCCATCGCCGCGCCCCCGCCCTCCCTCAGCCCGCGGCCCCGTCCCCGCCCCGGCCCTCCCTGCTCCTACCCGGCGGCCGCGCCCTCGAACTTGAGCGTGAGGGTCTCCTCGATGATGCGGTTGTTGACCTCGAGCAGGATCATGTCGGTGCCGGGGGGCTCTGGGGAGCCGAGCCCGCTGCGCGCACCGGGGACCCGCCCGACCCTGCGCCGCCGCTTCCGCTCTCGCGCGCGCGTCACGTCCGGCCCGGCGCCGCCGCGCGCGCAGGCCCCGCCCCGGCCCGCCCGTCGCATGACGTCACACCGACCGTGCCCACCGGGCGGGAGGGAAAGGGGGCGCCGGGGACCCCAAGTGTGGCGGGACACGGGGGGCCCTCGTGGTATGGGGATCACCCCCAGCTGGGATTTGGGGTGCGCCTGGGGCATGGAAGGGGGGTCCCCAAAAATGTCCCGCCCGCTTGTGGGATGCTGCTCGTGTATGGAGGTCCCCGAAAGTGTGGGGCTCCCCTAGGGTTATAGGGACACTCCAGGGAGAAGTGGGTATGCCCCAGAGTATGGGGGGTCTGCATAAGAATAGGGTGCCCCAGGGATATGGGGTTGCTCAAGGGGGAAAGAGGTGTCTTTCTGAAATCCATGATTTCAGGTCCGCACGGAAACGTGAGAGGTGACCACAGAGAGCGGCAACACCCCAGGGGGCTGTGAGGGTGCTCTGGAGCTGGGGGTTGTCCAAAATAGGGTGGGTGTCCCCAGGATGGGTGTCCTTGGGTGTGTAGTGATGCCCAAGGGATATGATAGTGCTCTACAACTGTACCGGTGTCCCCAGGGAAGAAAGGCACCCCAAAAGTGAGGAGTACACCCCAAAAGTGAGGATGGGGGTGCTCCAAGGGTTTGTGGGTATCCCAGAGGAATGTGGGTGCCTGGGGGATGCTCTTGGATGCAGGTTTCCCCTAAAGGCAATAGGGGTACTCAGAGGAGTGAGCCAGGGGGTTCTCTAAGTCTGTGGGGCTGGCACGGGGGCACAGCTCTGTCTGATGGCATGGTTCGACTTGGGTCAGTCAGCTCGGCATGGTACAGCTAGGGTGAGATGGAAATGGGATTCTGCTTGGGAGGGGTCCCCCACAGCAACCCCCAACAGGGGGCAAGCCAGCCCTGCAGTTCACCTGTGCACCCTCCAAAATGCTGGTACCACCCTTGCTCTATCCATGGGGAAACTTGAGTCACAGAGCTTGGCACTGCCATCACCCACTGGCCACGGCCTCGGAGAGCTTCCAGTCTCCTGGGGGGACTGCAGCACCCAGGGGTGTCTTGGAGCGGAGCCTCGCACCCACTGAGGACCTGGGGACAAGGTGAGGACCCCCAGCTGGAGAACCCCAGGAGGCATTACTGCAGGGGTGACAGTGCACCCCTGGGTGTACTGCCAGTACGGGGTGGCCTGGGACAGGAGAGTGACGGGGTCTGCGGGCTTCCCTTAGCCTAGGAAAAGCATCCTGGGGGGGGACTGGGGAAGGGTCCCTTGGGCTACCACTTCCCCTTTATGCTGGGAGAAGGTTTTGCAATCTCGCTTCCTCCCCAGGCAGCATAAAGAGGGCAGCGGAAGGAAGGGGCACTGGGTAGTGGCACAGCACGGGTGCAGGTGAGGGACCCCCTGGTCGGGTGCTGCGCTGCATCCCAGCACACTTTGTTCCGGAGCCCTTTGGGGGTGACATCTGGATTTGAACCAGTGCCTGTGTGCTTCCCAGAGAGAAAAAGCTTGGGACTGGGAGAAGACCCCAGATTTGAGGGGACAGTGACAGCAGCGAGTGGTGAGTCCCTGGGATTCTCCACTGGAGGTTGGGACTTTCCTTGGGCTTTGAGAGCCCCCCAGCATCTGTCTGAGCCCCTTCACATGTGGAGCAGGCTGGGGGCTGGGGTGGGCTGTTCCAGCTGCCCAAGGAGCTGCCTTGTGTGAGGGGAGAGGGAGGTAGGAGGTGGGGGCACTCAGGGCTGTGCTGAGGGCTTGTCTGGGGTGCAAACCCTCCATAGTCCCTGGAGACATCAGCCTTGGGTGCCGTGGAGGGAAAGTGCTTGCTCCCATTTCCTCACACAGCGATGAGCCAGGAGGGTGCATCCCCATGGTTTGTCCCTCCTTCCTCCCTGCTGGGACCCTCAGGGCCACCCCAGTGTCCCCCAGCCCTTCCAGGGTCAGGAGGGGAAATTGTGTGCTGCTTGCTCCCCCAGTTGGGCCAGCTGTGGGATACCCATGAGTGGGGGGATACCCAGTTCTGGAGGAACCAGTAGGATTTTGGAGTGCGGAAGAAGAAAGAAGCAGCCAGAAACAGACAGAGGGGAAGCACTGGTGTCTGGCTCTGCACCATGCCTGTGGAAGCCTCAGTCAAGAGGACCTTCCCCATCAACATTGGCAGCATTCCTGGCTGTGGTCCTCTGGCATGCTGGGACATCAGCATCCCAGCATCACCATCCTGGGATCACCACCTCAGGGTTACCATCCCGGGAAAACTGCAGGAGAGGGGACAGCAGAGCCAGGGAGGGATTTTTCTGGGCAGTGGGCACCAGCCCAGCTGCAGCAGGGAATTCCTGTCAGGCAAAAGGGGAAAGTTGGTCCCAGGGAGGGTTTGGGTTCAAACAGAGCCAGTCTGGGGCCAGAAACCCCCCAGCACTGCAGGGACTCAGCACCTCCAGACAGTCCTGGCCTCTTCCCCCTGGAGGGGCTTGAGGGCTCAGAAATGGGGCAGAGGGGTGAAAATGGAGTGAAACAGGAGTCCATATCCATACTGGGAGAAGGCTGAAAGCCAGTGGTCTCTGGGAAGGTAGGAACAGAGCAAGCTTGTTGTCTCCTACACGTGAGGAAACAGGAAGAGTGACTGTCACCTGTGATTTCCCCATTGAGGCCGAGCATGGGGAACATGAGGATGCCTGGCAGAGCCCAGCTGAGCAACAGGAAGACCAGAGATGTGAAATATTTCCAAAGCCTCCTGCAAAGCGTGTGATGTCTTTCCGTCTGAGGCTTGAAACCACTCACGGAGGAACAGGACTGGGAGGGGGAAGAAGGGCATGAAACACCTTCAGATGTTCTTCAGTGCTGCCTGCCCCAGGCACCATGACCACAGCCTGGCTGAGGTGGCATGAGAGGCAGCTGCAGCAGTGATACTTGAGGGGGTGGAGAGGCTGGTGGGATCCAGGGGTACTTGAAGAACTTCAGAGGTCCCCACTGGGCTCTGAGATGCCCAAAGAGCTCAGAAGGCTTTTGAAGGACCCACACAAACCAGGGGACCCCACAGTTGCCAGAGGAGCCAGGTATCTCCTGGAGAGATGTGATGCTACATTGATGGGGGAGGCCCCCAACCAGAGAAGAGGTGGTCAGTCTGTGAGGGAACCCCTTCTTCCACAGGAGTCAGGGAAGGGACAGGACTGGGGTAAAGTGGAGGAAACCAAGGGGTGCAGGGGGTGTTTTACAAGGGGACGTATGAGGGACAGTGTCTGCCTGCAACACTGCCCATTACCTAGGACAGTGTGAATACAGTGGAGTGATGCAGGAGTGCTGCCAACTGCCTGGGAGGGGGCCTGGGCAGCAATGGAGATGCCAGGGGGCCCAGAGATGCTGTCACACCTGGCCCACACCACTCTGCCACCCCACACTCATGCCATTTTGTGCTCCACAGGCAAAATGGAGTCCTTGTCCTTCAATGGGGATTTGTCCAGCTTACTCTCCTCTCTCTACAACTACACCTATGACTACAGCACGGCCCTGCCTGACGTCGCTATCTCCTCTGCCCCATGCCGGCCTGATGGCTCCGTCCTCAACAAGTACCTGGTGGTGGTGGTCTACTGCCTCGTCTTCATCCTCAGTGTAGTGGGGAATGGGCTAGTGGTTCTGGTGGTGACCTCCAGCCACACCAGCCGCTCTGTCACTGACGTCTACCTGCTCAACCTGGCCGTGGCAGATTTGCTCTTTGCTTTCACCCTGCCCCTCTGGGCTGCCTACCGAGCCCACGAGTGGGTCTTTGGCACCGTGATGTGCAAAGCCATCTCCGTGCTGCAGGAAGCCAACTTCTACAGCAGCATCCTGCTGCTGGCCTGCATCAGCGTCGACCGCTACCTGGCCATTGTCTACGCCACCCGGGCTGCCACTGAGAAGAGGCACTGGGTGAAGTTTGTCTGCTTGGGCATCTGGGTCTTCTCTGTGCTGCTCTCCCTGCCCATGCTGCTCTTCCGTGAGGCTTTCGCCTCACCCAACAATGGCACCGTGTGCTACGAGCGTATTGGTGAAGACACGGCCAAGTGGCGGGTGGTGCTGCGGGTGCTGCCGCAGACCTTCGGCTTTGCTTTGCCCCTCCTGGTGATGCTCTTCTGCTATGGTGTCACCATCCACACCCTCCTGCAGACCAAGAATGCTCAGAAGCAGCGGGCCATGAAGGTCATCTTCGCCGTGGTGCTCGTCTTCCTGGTCTGCTGGCTGCCCTACAATATCACACTGGTGAGCGACACCCTGATGAGGACACGGGCCATCGCCGAGACCTGCGAGAGGAGGAACCGCATCAACACAGCCCTCTCTGTCACACAGGTCCTGGGCTTTGCCCACAGCTGCATCAACCCCATCATCTACGCCTTCATCGGTCAGAAGTTTCGCAACAGCTTCCTCAAGATCCTGGCGCAGCGTGGGCTGATCAGCAAGGATGCTGTTGCCCGCTACGGCCGTGCCTCCTATGCCTCCACCTCTGGCAACACATCCACCACCCTCTGAGCCCTTCTGGTACCCAGTCCTCGTGACTCCCAGCAGATCCCAGCACCCCACACACCTCAGCATCCTCATCCAGCCCCCTGGAACATGGGTGGTGATGCTATGGGGATGGGCAGGGCCACCACTGGATGCTGGACCCCAGCTGGAAGGGGGCTTGGGTGGCAAGGTGATAGGATTCCATTGCCAGAGGAGTGATGCCAAGTGATGCCAAGTGCTGCCCACCCTCCCCAGACAAAGCCTGTGACTCTGGGGATTCTGAGAGCCTGCTGTGGGGATGGTGTTTGTGGCCGTCGACCATACAGCAATAAAGGAGTTAGTGGGTTGATCACCCAGGTCTGGCTTCTCTTTGCCACAGGAAAAGAGACAGCAGGACAGGGCCAGGGCACATTTCCATGGACAGTGCCAGAATGGTGGTGCCAGCTGAGCCTTTCGGAGTGTGGGTAACCCTGCTTCCAGGACAGGGAAGGGCTGTTGCCCCAGAGGCTATTGCAGAGGGTTTGGCATCCTGTAAAACCCCAGAAGGGGCCCAAGCCCAGGTTTTTTTCCCTACAGCCACCTAGCCAGGTCCTAGCACTTCCCTTGTACAGAGGTCTCCATGTGGAGTCTGTCCCACCTGGGGACAAAGCCATTCCTTTCCCAACCCCAGTCCAAGCCCCAGTAGAGCAAATTGCTGAAAGATCCCTAAGCAGCCCCTCACTGAAACTGAGACAGCATTGTGATCCCTGCCTGAAGGGTGCCAGCACCCCAGGCACCCCCTTCTCCCCCCGACACCACAGTGTCAGGATATTGTTGTGCAAAGGGCTGGGAACCTGTCCCTTACACAAACGGGATGTTTCCGCCCCGGCTTGGGCAACTGAGGCTGACATTTGACTGGGGTAGAAGAGCTGAAGAGGGGGCTGTGACCCTGCTGGGGACTCTCCTGCCACCCTGTGTGCCAGGCATCGGGATGCCTACCCCAGCACTCCTAAGCATCTCTTCACAGGGGTCCCATACTGCTACCCCATTTGCCCTTGATCCAGGTTCCTGGGGGTCCTTAACCATGGGGGCATCAATGAGTGTCACCCATGTGCTGGCTCATGGGTGGGTACGGGGGTCTCCTGGCACCCAGGAGGGAGCCCCAGGGACTTGAGGCTGAGCGGGGTCAGTGGGGGTGCTGAGCCTATCACCTTTGCATCTGAGAAACCGCTTGCCCAAGTGGTTCCTCGCAGCGTGGTAGGAAGCCAGAGCTGTTGGTCAAGAGCTGTCTTCCCTCCCTGCTGTGGGACAGGGGAGGCAGGCTCAGCCTGGCTACAGGCAGGACACCCCCAGGAGGACTTGAACACCCCCATGCCAGCATTCCCCCACCCCACACCCAGCCTGAGTGTCAAGCTGGCAACGATTGACAGATAACATGAGAGCCGCAGGGATAACAGAAATGGGTTGTTTTCATTTTTGTGGACCAGCCACGAGAAAGACAGATCTCAAACCTGAAATGTTGGGCAGCAGGACCTGCATGAAGGCCCTGGACACCTGGGTCCCCAGTAAGTCTGAGAGGAGACAGCCAGGGCGGGAGGTGTCCCAGGAACAGTGCCAGGGATGCAGTCCCTGCTCATGTCGCCTGTGGGTGCCTTTGCTGGTAACAAACCAGGCAGCAGCGGCCCTTCTTGCCAAAGTCCATGGAGCACGAATGGCACACCTTGCCCTGGCACAGCCTGCTGAGAGAGCAGGTGGTGAGAGCTGTGCCATCCCAGTGCTGTGTCAGTGCCATCTCCCAGTTACCCCCATAGCCCACCTGCAGCTGTACCGCCGGGAGAGGAGGCGGAAATCCTTGTGGCAGCGGGAGCACAGCCCTGTGTCACGGGGGGCCGGGCCGGGCGTGGGGGTGTCGATGCCCTCTGTTTTCTGCCACAGGGCATCCTTCTCCCTGCAGGAGGGGACAGGTCAGCCCTTTATTTGTCTGGGCTCTGGTGCCCTCCTCTGGGCAAAGGGGTTTGGACCCCCTTGCCCTTGCGTAGAGTTTCCGGGGCTCTCACCGCAGCAGCTCCAGCAGCCGCTCCTTCATGTCGCGGATGAGCTCCTGCTGCCGCGCCTGCTCGGCGCCACGCATGGCCTCTCGCTCCAGGGCCTCCCGCTGTGCCCTCTGCAGCGCTGATGCCCAGCGCTCACCGTCCTGCCGGGCCCTGGCACGGGGCAGCGGGGAGATGGTCCTCCTGTCTCTCGACTGGTCATCTCTCCATGCATGCATGCATGCATCCATTCATCTCTCCCTCCCTCCTTTTCTCTGATGCCCATCCATCCCCAAGCTGTGTCCCCCTCCCCACAGCCACCTTGCCATCTGCTGAATCAGCCACCCATCCATTTCCCCGCTGTTCCTCCATCCTTCCCCACACCCATTCCCCCAGCCTTCTGCCCACCCACCCATACATCTACTTACCCAAAATTCATCCCTCTGTCTTTTCATCCACCATCCCGTCTCCATCCATCCATCCCAAATTCATCCCTCCTGCCCTCCCTCCATCTACTCACCCCAAATCACTCCACCCCTCTGCCCACTCACCCCTCTACCTACCTGTCAGTTCCAACTTGACCCCTCCCTGCAGTCATCCTTCCCCAAATCCTTCCCTCCCTCCCCCTGCCCATCCCCAGCTGCTGCTCCCCTGTGTCCAAGTGGGAAATCATTGGGGGTCCCAAGGGAAACCATGTGGCAGGTGGAGATGGGGGATCCCATTGTGGGGTGGTGGGTGATGGAAGTGAGGGCTCCTGCCCAACCTGCTGAGCTCCTCCTGCAGCCGTGCCACCTCCTGTCGCTGGGCCTGGAGCTGCTGCCGGCTCTGCCATGTCTCCTCCTGTGCTGCAGTGACCAGGCTGGCCAAGCACTGTGGGAGAGTAGCAGCTCAACCTTGGACCCCAAACCCCTACCCCACCATAGGATTCCCTCAGGCTTGCTCATACCATGGCCATGCTGGCAGCTGTGCTGGGCTCCCCCTCTGCCTGGGGGTCCAGTGAGGGCTCCTGGGGACCACGGGCAAGCTTCAGTGCCTGCCGCAGCACCTCCTCCACGACGGCCACCTCATTTTGGGCACCAGCATGCCCCAGGATGTCTGTCTGTCTTGCTGCCACCAGCGCTGCCTGGCACTCCCGCAGGCGGGAGGCGAGCGCTGCCCCCTCTGCCAGCACCTCAGCCAGCTGGGTGCCCCGCTCCTCTGCCACCTCCTGCCAGCCCCGTGCCTCCTTCTGTGCCTGTGCCAGTGCCCCCGGGCACCCTGCTGCCACCACCGTCTCCAGTGCCCGCTCCAGGAAGGTGTTGGTCTCCCTCAGTGCCTCAGCCTCGTGTGCCCACAGCCGGGCCCGCTGGGCACTGCCCTCCTCCTGCTGCTGGTGCCGCAGTTCTGCCCGTGCCAGCCGTGCTGCCAGTGCCTGCACTGCCACCTCCTGCTGACCCAGCTCAGCCCTCAGCTGGGATACCAGTGCCTGTAGGGATGCCTCCATCCCACCCGGCTGCCCGGGCACCAGTGATGGAGAACTCAGCGTGCACTTCATGCCAGTGAGTGGGGTAGCGCCAGGCTCCCTGGCACCATCAGGCTGAGGTGATTTGCCAGAGCCATGTACATCCTTCAGTTCCTCTACATCTACATCCTCCATCTCCTTCTCATCCTCCTCCAACTCCTTTTCATCCTTCTCTTCCAAATTCTCCTTCATGTCCTCCTCCACATCCACCTTCACATCCTCCACCTCCTCCTCCGTATCCTTGTCCTCATCCTTTTCCACCTCCTCTTCATCCTCCTCTTTCATGTCCTTCTTCATCTCCGCGTTTTCCATCTCCATGTCCTCCACCTCTACATCCCCTGCCTGCAGGGCAGACAAGGTGTGTGGACATGGGTGAGCTGGTGTCCCACAGGGTGCCGCGATGGGATGGACGATGCCATCGGGCCATCTGTGTGCCCCAGTGCTGGGGTTGTCTGTCTGCGGAGCTGTCTTTGCTGGGCTGCTCCTGGTCATTGAGCTGGGCCGTACCAGAGACCTAGAGGGGACACAGGGCTCGGGGTCACCAGGTCACCCCCAAGGTGAGCACGGTACTGCCATCCTCCCTCTGAGCTCCCTGTGCACAGCCAACCTTCGGGGATGTAAAGGGCAGCAGGGCTGGTGACACCAGGTGGCACCTGGTGGCAGGGCACCAGGGATGCTGGTGCCACCAGCCTGAGAACCCACAGAATGGGTGGCACCCAGAGACCCCTGTGGTGGTTGCAGGGGGGCATTGGGGCTGCATGTATGCTTGTGGCAGTGCGTGCACACAAGTGTGCGAGCAGCAGAACACGTGTGAGTGTGCTGGAACAGCTGCATTCATGGGTGTCCCTCTGCAAGCTTGCCCGGAGGGCAAGGGTGTGCAAGCACACACATGTGCCCCTGTGTGTCAGATGTCACAGTGTCACAGTGTTGCAGCAGACCTGTGCCTGGGGGTGTACTTGGCAAAGCATGGCTCTGTGTGTGTGTACACGTGTGTGGCATGTTTGCAGGCACAGGCATGGTGTGTGTGCTGGTGCTGGTATCTGTGCCCTCCTGGGGCCATGTGTGGAGGGCTGGCACCTCTGGGGTGCCATGTGGGGTCCAGGGAAGTTGGACAATGCCCATATGCTGCTCTGCAATGTTGAGCCTCAGGTATCTCTGATGCCCCTGACACTGCTGGTGCCACCAATGCCCCCATGTCCCGGTGTCCCCAGGCTCACTCAGAGAACATGGGCCAGGCGGTGTCCAGGTCGTCCCTGTGCAGGGCCAGGTGGAAGGTGACACAGTCCAGCTCATAGAGGCTGCCCAGGATCTCCGCCCGGTGTTGGGGGCTCAGGAAAGGGCTGCGGGCGTAGTACCACTCACTGCAACCACAAAACAGGCTCAGGCACCCCTCTATGCCCTGGGTGGGCACATATGCCCGCAGCACCCTTAGTGACCAGGTGCTGCAGGGCGCTGCCCATCTCGGCCATGTCCCCCACCCTCACTGTGCCCCTGCTCTCACCGGAGGCTCTCGGGGTCAAGGAGGCAGAGCTGCAGGGACTCTGCCAGCTGCCGATGCACCAGGCAGTACCGCAGGAAGGCTCGGCCCCTGCCCACAGGGGTCTTCAGCTGGGAGGGAGAAGGGGTTATCAAACCCTGTCACACCAGTCTGCCCCCTACACACCTTCCCCCCAGCCCATGCAGGGGGAAAGGAGGTCCTCAGGTCCATGGCTGGGGGGCAGTGGGGACCCCAGA